CCACCCCTGCACCTCCGCACCCCCGAATCCCCGGCCCCGCACCAGCGGTGCGTGTATGCCCCATTGGGGGGGGGGGTCCGAGGAGGGGTAAAATTTCCTTAAATATCATTTCTTTGATTTTTGGCCCGGAGGGGCAGGCTCTCACTTCTCACCCCCCAGTTTTATTTTATTTTATTTTTTAGCGGGGTAGGGGGGCTCCAGAGTCGGGGTTTGAGGTACCCACCCCCGACCCCCCCCAGGGCTCAACAACCCTGCATACAATCATGCATGTCGACATACATATGTACATAGTACATACACAATACAGATACGCATATGTAGACACACACACACACACACACACACACACACACATCTATAGCCACAATAGAACTTCCAGGTAAACGATACACAGAAAGGACAAGAAACGCTGGGCTGTGACACACCGTTTTCGCAGATTTTCACTGACTCACCTAAAGACTAAATACCCTCTCTACAGAGTCTGCGAGTGCAGTTGGGCTTGAACCACTGCCTGAAAGACTCTGCAGATAGTCTCCTGATAAGTCTGCAGCAGAGTCCGCTAACACAGATGAGAATCCAGTACGAGCGATAATCCAACCTTAACCGTGCCTGCAGTTGGACTCGAACTACTGCCCTCTATATAGATGAATCCACTGCCTGGTAAGCTACCTTCTTTCCCCAAACGCAACACACACTGATTATGAATGCATACAACCTACCTTCCCAGTCACATACGGTCAATAACAGGGTGCATTGTCTCTTGCAGAAAACGGTACTTTGTAGAAAACAGGGTTTAAACTAGCTTAGTAATTTTCTCGATCCTTGTTGCCATCTCAGGTGAGGATAGATTCTTCTAATCGTCTAGTGCGAAGGCACTAAGAGGGGATCATCTGTGTACCGTGTGTGCGTGTGTGTGTCTGTGCGTCTGTGTGTCTGTGTGTCTGTGTGTCTGTGTGGGTGGGTGGGAAACCGACATAAAGACTGAGATACGGAGAGAGAGAGAGAGGGGCGGAAACCAACAGAAAGACTGAGATACAGGGAGAGAGAGAGAGCGGCGGAAACCAACAGAAAGACTGAGATACGGGGAGAGAGAGAGAGAGAGAGAGAGAGAGAGAGAGAGAGAGAGAGAGAGAGAGAGAGAGAGAGAG